TGGAGATCGAGCCCAGGAATTGACCAGGACATCCTGGTTCATAGGTCGATGCTCAACCACTGAGCCGTGCCAGCCAGGCGCCATTGACATTTTTGAGGAATGGAGGTCAGGGGATTTTGGAAAACATCACTCATTGTACAAAATGTCTGATGTTCCCTCATGATTAAATTAGGTTATACACTTTGGGTCAGAATACCACAAAAGTGCTGTGTTTTTCTCAGTGCATCAGATTGTGAGGTACATGCTACTTGCTTCATTACTGATGATGTTAACTGATCATTTGGTTAACGTTGTATCATGTGAAGAAATACTTTGAGACTATATAAATATCTTGTTACTCCTCAAATTGTACTTACTAATTTTAACATCTATTATTGATTCTTGCCTAAATTATTGATGCTGTTTTAATAATATTTTAAAAGGTTTCCATTTGTTGATAGTGTAATAAAAATACAATTGATTTTGTATACTGACCTTCTATCTTGTGACTTTGATAAATTCACTGTTAATTCTTACAGGAGAATCCCTTGGGATTTGTGTAGATCCCTTGGGGTTTTCTACATAGTCATATTGTCTGTGAATAAAAAGTTTTCCTCCTTTCCATTCTTCATGCTTTTCTTTTTCCCTTTTTCTCATTTTATCACACTGACTAGTATCTCTAATATAGTGTTGAATAGAAATGCTGAGAGTGGGCATCCTGGTCTTGATCCTGATCTTAGGGAGAAAGTGTTGAGTCTTTGACCATTAAATGTGATGTCAGCTGTAGATTTATTTATAAATGTCCTTTGTTAGGTTGAAGACATTCGTTTCTAAACCCACTTCGTTTAGAGGTATTTTTTATGAATGTGTGTTGAATTTTATCAAGTGCCTTTTCTATTCTACAAGGTAGATTTTAATAAATCATATTTTTCTTTAACAAACATTCTCAAGATTATATAAGATGTAAAAAGATAAACTGAGGCACATTACATTTTGAAGAGTTCATTTGAGCTAATGATTTTAATCGGGCAGCCAAAACTGAAAATGACTAGAGGTGCTCTCTGGGCTAGGGTAGGGTAGAGGTTTTTATAGAGAAACACAGAAGCAAAGAAATTATTTAATTGGCTGTAGCTTAAACAGTTGTCTTATTTAGGGAAATCTAGTTATTTTGGCTGTATGGTAGTTGTTCTTGAGTTTAATTTTCTCAGATTAAATTTTAATTGGCTGCCTTTATTCTTGCATTTCATTTTCTGAGATTTGAGTGCATTGACCTTGGCTTAGAATTTTAGGTTGTTTACATAGGCTCCTTAAGGCACTGGAGTCACCTAGTCTAGTGGCCTCTTTAACTATTTTATCAAAATTAACAGTCTTTGGGACTATTAAAAAAAAAAGTTCTGCCTGGCCGGTGTGGCTCAGTGGTTGAGTGTTGACCTATGAACCAGGAGGCCATAGTTAGTTCTATTCCCAGTCAGGGCACATGCCCAGGTTTCGGGCTCAATCCCCAGTGGGGGGCGTGCAGGAGAAAGTCGATTGATGTCTCTCGTCATTGATGTTTCTGATGATTCTCATCATTTATGTTCCTATCTCTCCCTCTTCCTTCCTCTCTGAAATCATGTGCCCTGACCAGGAATCGATGGGATGACCTCCTGGTGCATAGGACCGTGCTCAACCACTGAGGCACACCGGCCAGGCACTCAGGGTTTTATCTTTTAACGAATATACTTTGCCAAGACTGGGGCTAATAATGTTGGCTTCTACCAAGAGACTAGATAGGGCTGGAAAAGCCAAGAAAGTAAAGGGAAAAGGGCAGAGCAGGGCTAGTCAACGTTGATGTCACCTCAGTAAATCCTCACTTAACCTGGTCAGCAGATTCTGTGACTATAAGCGAAAGGAAATGACATTGTAACAAAACCAATCTTACCACAGACTAGTTGATATCCAAGAGAGTTTTCTGAGATTTGAGTGCATTGACCCTGGCAACTCATCAACATGTTAATGAAACAATGTTATTCAAGGACCTGCTGTACAAGTCAAGTGTAAGGCACACGTTGTAATAGGTAATACCATTTTCTACAAAATCAACATATTCTTTTATTTTGTAATCCTCACCAGAGGATATTTTTTCCATTGATTTTTCAGAGTGGAAGGGAGGAAGAGAGACAGAGAAACATCTATTGGTTGCCTCCCACTTGTGCCCATGGATGGAGCCTGCAACGAGGTACGTGCCGTGCGCTTAAACGGAATTGAACCTGGGACCCTTCAGTCCGTGGGCCGACGCTCTCACCAATGAGCCAAACCAGCCAGGACAACATATTCTTTTTCCCCTTCAAATTCTACAAAGGCTTGCACATCTCCAAAAGATGTGTAAACATTTGAGGCTGACACATCCAGAGAGTAATAGCTTAATCCTGGAACCTTATAGGTAGTGTTGGGCAATAAAGCAGCCGGATAACTAGAGTCGTGTTCTCTTTACAAGGAATGGGAGGAGAGTATATTCAGAGGAAATCTACCTCCTGGTATGGGGAGCAGCCACCAACCACAGTTTGAGTTCTCCTTAATTTTAGTCACTAGATGATAAATTCAGCACCTCTATCAGCTCAAAATCAGGCCTTTTAAAACAATTATAGTCAAGGCTTCTGTATAATTTCCTTTGTCTTTGTCGTTCCCTTTTCATAATCAGAGTTGAGCACAAAAAGACATCTAGTCGTAGCCTATGTTTTTCTTAGCAAAAGGCTTTTGTTTTCTAATTTCACAGCTTGTCAGTTAGAAAGAGACGAAGTAACTGAATAGACCACCCTAAAATTAGCTCCCTGCATGAGACTCTTTACTGTTTCCTCAGGAGGGAAGGCTAGCATCAGGCTGACTCAGAGTTGACCTGGCAGCTTAACAGAGTCAGAGTGAGAGTGCTAGGTTGGCTCTTCTTGGTTCTTTTGGACTTGCCCTCGCGATTGCGATATGATTGCTGCTGCTCCATCCATCACCTCGTAGCATGCAGAGCAGGAATTGGAGAAAGTGGGATGGCGGACGCTCAGTGGCTCTTCCAACCTCTGTTTCTTTAACGAGGAAGGAAAAAGCTTTCTCAGAAGCCCCCACACGACTTCCCTCTTAATACCACGTTGGCCAGAAGTGGGTCATGTGTACTTCCTTGGACCAGCCATCGGCAGAGGGAATTTGATTGCTTTGACCAGTCACGGTTCATCCCTTAGTGTTGGGTGTGAACGCTCTGATTCTTTTTCAAAATTGCCTGGTCAGTTTTTTAAAAAAATATTTTTGTTGATTTCAGAGAGGAAGGGAGAGGGAGAGAGAGAAACATCAATGATGAGAGAGAATCATTGATTGGCTGTCTCCTGCACACCCCCCACTGGGGATCAAGCCTGCAACCCAGGCATGTGCCCTTGACCGGAATCAAACCTGCGACCCGTCAGTCCGCAGGCCAATGCTCCCTCCACTGAGCCAAGCCGGTTAGGGCTGCCTGGCCAGTTTTGATTATTATTTGTTCCTTCATCATCCTGTCTATTTATTTCTTTAAACTATTACAAATGCTTTTATATTGTCTGTTTGATATTTTCAATATATGCAGCCTTTGTGGGTCTGTTCTGCATCTTGTGGTTCCTGCTGATCCTAAGTCATGGCAGCTTGTTTCCTCATGCCTGTGTGTGTGTGTGTGTGTGTTCTGTTCTTTGGGAAGGTAGCTATGGGAGATCTTGGAGGACTGGGTTTGAAGTACGCTCCTCCAAAGAGTATTTGCCCTGGTGTCGGGTGACGCTGTGTACCCGGGACCACTTACAATGCTCGGCTTGTGTTTTTCCATGCAGAAGGCTAGTGTGAGTTTTTGCTCCAAATCCTTGAGAGGACAAGCTCATGGTTAGGAGTTGTCCAGAGATAAATTTTCATCTTTTCTCTGCTGTCCTCCAGAGCGAAGGCTCCCTCTCTCTCCATAGGCACGTTTCCCCTGACCTACTCGTGGAGGAGGAGCCCCTCTCTATGTGGTTTGGTGGTGGTCTCTGAGCTACTGTTCTTCCTTGCTTGGAGCGCAGGCCTGGTCTTCTATTCCCCGCTGCCCCCCCCCCCCCCCAAGGGCCCTTTAAAATCAAGCTCTGTGTGCCACCCAGGGTCAGCACTGGGACAAAAACCACATCAGTGCCACCCACTGTATCAGTCAGGGTCCGATCAGGAGGCTGAAACGACACCAGTTATTTTAACAGAGGGAATTAGTAACTGATGAGGCAAGAAGACTAAGGAATGATGAAGAAGCAAGTGCAGGGAGCTGCTGCTGCCTTTTGCTCCCCTAGGGTTGGGGAACAAAAGGAAAAGGTAGGAATGATTGAAACATAGATGTTGGAGGTTGTGTTCCATAGAGCTGAAACTCAGACCCTGGGAGGGGCTGGATGAGGCGGGTTCTGCAAGTGCTAGGAAGTGCGAACTGGACTGCTCTGCTGCCCTGGGAAGGAGCACTTGCAGAAGCAGAGGTGTGTGTGTAGGGCGTTGGGGGTGGGGTGGGGGGGGGGGCGATGCTCACAGGATCTACAAGGAGCAGATCCTCCTCCCTCCTCCATTCTTGCAGCCTGTCTCTAGCTCCCCCTGCTGGCACAGCTCTCTCATTTCTGGCCTCTGATAACTGCTCGCCTTTCCACTGACCCGGCCTTGCATTTCCAAAAGGTGCTTGAATGCTGTGACAGTCATCGTGAATCTTCTCTGCTGGGAGTGAATCTTCTCTGCTAGGAGGGTTCATTCCTTAGGTCGCGCAGCCCCGCCATATGGCCAGATATGGAAGGGTCTGTGCAAGAATTTAAGAAGGATCACTCAGATCTGTACACAGAAGGCTTCCTCTGGGACCTGTGTCAGGGAAGGACTGACCGGAGGCCCAGAAACAAGAGAAGAGTCTAGAGACCTTGAGGCAGGTCAGGGCATGAGCTGGATCTGGCGACTCCCAAGCTTTTTCTCGGGCCCCCTGCCCTCTTCCCAGCCCCTAGGATGCATCATTTAAAGGAGCCAGCCTCATTTATTGTGCCCTCTCCCAGGTCCTTCTGGTCACCTCGTCTTTCATGTCCCCTTCTGAGAGCCGAAGTGGCTCCAACCCCAACCGTGTTCGCTTGTTTGGACCTGAGAAGCTGGTCCGGGGAGCAGCTGAGAAGCGCTGGGACCGAGTCAAAATTGTTTGCAGCCAGCCCTATAGCAAGGTACCTGTGGTGGGAGCGGGGAGTGCAGGGTCCTTGGTCGTGGGTGAGGAGAGAGCGGAGGGGCCAGTATGAGTCACAGTGGGCTGGGAGGACTGGACAGCTGGTATCCCCATGGGACCATGAGGAGGCCGTCCCTGAAATGGGTTTGAGTTCCCCCTCATATGAGGCTTTGTTTCCTGGACGATGTCTTGGACAGTGAACTGTAGGACCTCAGAGGGGAGCTGGGGGAGGGGGACAGCTGACTTGTTGGAGAGGTGGTCTAGGAGAGTGGGCCTAGGAGTTAACATCAAGAGAATGAAGTCAGACACTGGGTTTAAAATTGGCTACACCACTTCTTACTGTGTGACTCTGGGCAAGTGACTTAATCTTTCTGGTCTCAGTTTCCTGATCCTTATGGGTTGCTGTGAGTTAGGATGCTAAGCTGTGATTACAAGACCCACGTGGTAATGACACCACACAGTAGAGGTATCCTTACCAGGGAACTGTCCTGGGGGGTGTTTGACTGGTCATCCAGGGACCTAGGTTCCTCCCATCCTGTGGCTCTGCATCCAGCTGGCAGAGGGGGAAAGAGCCTGGAGCATTTCTCTATTCCCGAAGTGGCACGCAGCACTCCCTCCATTCCACTTGCCCATTGCTTATGCGGCTAACGGGACTAATGCATGTAAAAGGGCTCAGAGCTGTGCTGACCCAGAGTTAGGGCTCCGTAACAGCTGGATGTTATTATTGTCCACAGTTTCATACAGACATCTCCCTAAATGAGGCAAGAGCCAGAGAGAGGGTTCCCTAAGTTAAAGGGGCTTGGGGCCAGGCTTCAGTCCTTGGCCAGATTCCCTGACTCCAACCCCTTCTTTCCCAGGACTCCCCCTATGGCCTGAGTTTTGTACGGTTTCACAGCCCTCCAGACAAAGATGAGGTAGAGGCTTCACCCCAGGTAAGCTTTACCCACCACCCCCAGAGCCTTCTCCCTCTCTCTTCTCGCCCACCTGCCAACAGTCCACACCCACTGCACTGACCTTCTGGGACTTTAGAAGGTGACCAAGCTTGGCCAATTCCGTGTAAAGGAGGAGGATGAGGGTGCCAGCTCCCTGAGACCAGGGGCCCTCTTCTTCAGCCGGATCAATAAGACATCCACTGGTGAGTGTGGAAAATCAGGCCTGAGTGAGTACAGGGTTGGGACCTAGACTCCTGGGTCTGAGGAGGCTGGGGGCCTGGCCTCCTGGGTCCGAGGGAGACAGGACTGGGGGCCTGGCCTCCTGGGTCTCTGCTGGGAACACCCCTCTGTCGCATGGATAGGAACTGAAAGCCTTATCCTGGTTCCACTCTCTCCCTCTGTAGCCACAACCAGTGACCCAGCGGGACCCAGCTATGCAGCTGCCACACTGCAGGCCTCAAGTGCCACCTCCTCAACCTCTCCAGCCTCCAGGGCAGTAGGCAGCACCTCCAAGGTGAGATCATCAGACCCTGACGGGTGGAGAAGGAGGAGAGAAGCTAGAGGCCTCATTTCATCTCACCCCGCTTAGCCTCAGGAGTCCCCCAAAGGGAAGAGGAAGTTGGATTTGAATCAAGAAGAAAGGAAGACCCCCAGCAAACCATCAGCCCAGCCCTCACCACCTGCCCGAAAGAGACCGAAATGTGAGCAAACTGAATTCCTTGTTCCCACAGGGGCCTGGGTTCCTGTGTCGTAGGGGTGGAGTGGACTGGGGCTGGGACTCTGGAGCTGAGGGAGGAAGGACGAGGGGTTTAGTCCCAGCAGTGCTAACTGAACCTGCTCTTTGGCTTCCGCAGTGTCAGCACCCATCTCTACCCCTGCCACTGCTTCAGTCCCTGCCCCAGCACGGGGGGCAGTGCCAGGGAAGCCCCGAGGAGAAGGCATGGAGCACAGGGCACCCCGAGCTGGCCCGCAGGAGATGGGGAAGATCCTTAAGGGCGTGGTGGTGGTGCTGAGTGGCTTCCAGAACCCCTTCCGCTCGGAACTCCGGGACAAGGCCCTAGAGCTCGGGGCCAAGTATCGGCCAGACTGGACCCCAGACAGCACCCACCTCATGTAGGCCTGTGACCTCCTCCTTCCCACCTTCCTGCTACCACTCCTCCGCCTCTGTCTCCATCCTGCTTTCTCTCTCTCTCTGCCTGTCTGCCTGTGTGTGTCTTTGTCTCCGTCTCTTCAGTTCTCTGTATGGATCCTCTGCCTCCTTTTCTCCGATTTGTACATCTTTCCTTCTGTCTCCCTGTTTCTCCCGTACCTGTTTCTTTTTCTCTCTTACTCGTCTCTTCTCCCTCTCTCTGTCCTCCTTGTCTCCCTCTTCTCTTTTATCCCTCAGATCACACCTGACTGACACCCTCCATTCTGCTCCCCACAGCTGTGCCTTTGCCAACACCCCTAAGTACGGCCAGGTCCTAGGCCTCGGAGGCCGCATTGTGCGTAAAGAGTGGGTGCTGGACTGTCACCGCATGCGGCAGCGGCTGCCCTCCCGGAGGTGAGGCCTCCCTGCACACCTGTGTATACGTCTGTATATGCATATACACATGCCTACCCTGCTCCTCATCCCTGGGCTGGGCAATGCTAGGGATCTGGAGAGAAATCAGACTGGAGCCTGCTAGTGGAGAACACCGGTGGGACTGGACCAGAGTGAGCTGACTTCTGAGAGAAGGAGGCATGGGCTAGGAGTCGTGGAGGAGGGAGAGATGGCTTGCCTGGGGGGCTCACGCAGGCTCTGTGAAGTCTGCTTAGCGGAGAAGGAAAGGACACTGCAGGCTAGAGAAACAGTGTGTGCCAAGACTTAGGGACGGAGAAGTGTTGGGGCTTGTTTAGATTAATTTCTTTTATACTTACTTAATTTTTAAATTTATTTATCTTTATTGTTGAGGGTAGATTCATTTAAAGCAAGACCCTGAAGTCCCTGCTTGGTGTCAGGCTGGCCCATGAGATGCTGGGCACCCAACCATCAGGTCCTGCCTTTGACAAGGCCTCTCACTTTGATGATGGGCCAGACTTGTTACAAAACAGTATGGGTCCGGCCGGTTTGTTCAGTGGTTAGAGTGTTGGCCTGTGGAATGAAAGGTCACAGGTTCGATTCCAGTCAAGGACATGTATCTTCGTTGCAGGCTTGGTCCCGGAACTGGTTGGGATGCTTGTGGGAGGCAACCAATCGATGTGTCTCTCTCACATCGATGTTTCTCTCTGTCTCTCCCCCTCCCTTAAAAAAAAAAATCAATGGAAAAAAATATCCTCAGGTGAAGATTAACAAAAAACAAACAAATAAAAAACAGTATGGATGCCCGGTGGTGTGGTTCCGTGGTTGACTGTTTACCTATGAACCAGACAGCGGTCGCCAACCGGAGGTCCACAGACCACTGGTAATCCATGAGGTCCAAAAGTTTGGCGACCGCTGAACCAGAGGCTAAACCAGAGGATCTCGGGCCCATGCCTGAGTTGCAGGCTCCATCCCCAGTAGGGGGTGTGCAGGAGACGGCCCATCAATGATACTCTTTCATCATTGATGTTTCTATCTCTCTTCCTTCCTCTCTGTAAACCTTCCTCTCTGAAATTAATAAAATATATTTTTAAGTATTAGATTTAAAAAAACGTATGGAGGAAGGCCCAAGGAGAAAGCGCAGTGTGTAGGGGTCTTCAAGGATGAGAAGAGTTTACCAGGCTGAACATAGAATAGAGCCTGCTGGGTGGAGCCCAAGTTGGGGTCAGCCTGGTGTCTGCCCCGAGGAGGTGCAGGTGGGCTCCGCTTGCTGTGGGAGGCAGGAAGTGGCAGGAAAATGAGGCTGGGGCAGCAGGAGCCATGGAAGGCTTTGGAGCTGGGGAAGGACAGGGTCAGATCTGAGGCCCATGATTCAGAAGGGAGACTGGTGTTATACTCCGTGGGAGAGAAGACCTGAGTGTGCTCAGAATTGGGGCTGTGCCTGCTGTATTTGAGAGACTCCTTATTGGGGGGGGTGGGGGAGGGAGCTGGAGGTGGAGGTGGAGGCTGAGAAGTGGTGGGATCAGCTCAGAAAGGACTTCCAGTGCCTGGCCAGGGCAGGGCTCTGTCCAGGTCCACAGACCCCACATTTATAGCTCGGGAATCCAGACACCTCTGGAAGCCAAAAGTGTTTTTCTGGATTTAGCACAAACACTGGCTGCATGATCATCTTGAGCTGATGCGAGGCTATGTATGACCTTTATTCCATTAAGTACGTCATCATATTGTTTACAGAAATATTCATGGGCCTGATTTACAGGGCACTTCCTCCTTCTGCACAGGGGGGTGGTATGTAGCAATCTGTATATCTCTAAAATCTGAAAATTTCAAAGTTCTGAAACCCACTTGGCTCCAAGGGTCTCTCTGTGAGCAGCAGGGAGCCATGGAAGGTTTGGGAGGGGGAGGGGCAGGCTCTGTTGTGGGGCTGGAGTGTCTAGGCCAGGCTGCAGGTGGGGACCTGGAGGAGGCTGGGGCCTCGGGGATAGAAATGGGATAGATGTGGTCTATTTAGGGACAGAGGAACTGGATTTGGATCATCTGCTCAAGAAAAGGCAATAGACAGTGCTAGGTCTGCAACTGGGGTTTTTTTGTTTTGTTTTGTTTTGTTTTGTTTTTGGTTGTTGTTGTTGTTTTTTATTGCTTTCAGAGAGGAAGGGAGAGGTAGAGAAAGATAGAAACATCAATGATGAGAGAGAATCATTGATCAGCTGCCTCCTGCATGCCCTCTACTGGCATGTGCCCTGACCAGGAATTGAACTATGATGTCCTGGTTCATAAGTTGACACTCAAACACTGAGCCTACACCGGCCGGGCTGCAAATAGCATTTTTTATTTTTGCAACTGGGTTTTGACCAAAAAAATTAAATTCAGAAAGCACTTTATATTTTTAAAAGTTGATGATGGAAGATTCCCGGGTGATGGCTCTCCCCACAATAATCACAAATTGAGTTTTTAAAATCTTTTAGTTCCAAACACTTTAAAGAAAAGTCTTATAAGCCTACCATTGATTCTTTAATCAACTATGACACTTTAAATTCTCTGAATTTCCCACGAGCCAGTGCTGTCCATTGAGTGTGACTTACCTGAACAGGGTTTCACCAGCTTTGGAAAAATCAAATTCTGTGCCGATGGTCTTCATGTGCGTACCATGAAAGTAAAGCCAACACATTCAATTGCTTCTGCTACGTAATTTGCCCTGGGATTGAGGCAAAGTAGTTAATCTCTCTGTGCCTTAGTTTCCTCATCTGTAAAATGGGGCTAAGATACCAACTACCTCAGAATTCCGTGACTCCACATTTGTCAAGTGTTTATTTTTTTTTATTTTTTAAAAAATTAAATCATTATTGTTCAGATTATTACAGTTGTTCCTCTTTTTTCCCCCCATAGCTCCCCTCCACCCGATTCCCACCCCCCCTCTGCCCTTACCCCGCCACTGTCCTCATCCATAGATGTACAATTTTTGTCCAGTCCCTTCCCACACCCCCCCCACCCCTTGCCCCCCCGAGAATAGTCAGTCCACTCCCTTTCTATGCCCCTGATTCTATTATAATCACCAGTTCATTCTGTTCATCAGATTATTTATTCACTTGATTTTTAGATTCACTTGTTGATAGATGTGTATTTGTTGTTCATAATTTGTATCTTTACCTTTTTCTTCTTCCTCTTCTTAAAGGATACCTTTCAGCATTTCATATAATACTGGTTTGGTGGTGATGAACTCCTTTAGCTCTTTCTTATCTGTGAAGCTCTTTATCTGACCTTCAATTCTGAATGATAGCTTTGTTGGGTAAAGTAATCTTGGCTGTAGGTTCTTGTTATTCATCACTTTGAATATTTCTTGCCACTCCCTTCTGGCTTGCATAGTTTCTGTTGAGAAGTCAGTTGACAGTCGTATGGGTACTTCCTTGTAGGTAACTGACTGTGTTTCTCTTGCTGCTTTTAAGATTCTCTCTTTGTCTTTTGCTCTTGGCATTTTAATTATGATGTCTCTTGGTGTGGTCCTCTTTGGATTCCTTTTGTTTGGGGTTCTCTGCGCTTCCTGGACTTGGAAGTCTATTTCTTTCACCAGGTAGGGGAAGTTTTCTGTCATTATTTCTTCAAATAGGTTTTCAATATCTTGCTCTCTGGCACCCCCATAATTCGGACGTTGGTACACTTGAAGTTGTCCCAGAGGCTCCTTACACTATCTTCATATTTTTGGATTCTTTTTTCTTTTTGTTTTTCTGGTTGGGTGTTTTTTGCTTCTTTGTATTTCAAATCTTTGACTTGATTCTTGGGATCCTCTGGTCTGCTGTTGGAACTCTGTATAATATTCTTTTTTTCAGTCAGTATATGCTTAATTTCTAGTTGGTCCTTTTTCCTATCCTCGAGGGTCTCACTAAATTTATCAGCAGTTTCTAGAAAATTCTTGAAAAACCTTATAACCGTGGTTTTGAACTCTATATCCAGTAGTTTGCTTTCCTCCATTTCTGTCATTTGTGACCTGTTTCTTTGTCTCCGCATTTTGGTTGCTTCCCTGTGTTGACTGAGTGGCTTTCTGTGCTAAGTGTCCTATAGGGCCCAGTGGCTTAGCCTCCCCAACTACCTGAGGAGGACACTCTTGGTGCACCCCTTTGTGGTCTTTGTGCACATTCTTGTTGTAGTTAAGCCTTGATTGTTGTAGGTATCACTGGGAGGAATTGACCTCCAGGCCAGTTGGCTGTCAGAATCAGCTGTGTCTACAGTGGGAGAACTTCTGTGCTGGAGACACCCTTATGGAGCAAGACTTACTTCAGTGGGGCTTTGGTGCTCACTGAGTCTGCCCCTGAGTGTGTCGCTTATGGATCTGAGGAGTTGTAATCTGGATGGTCCCACTCTGACCACTGGGTACACTGGCTCTTGGATCTAAGGAGGTGCTAATTTAGCCCCTGCCTGAGGCTACCCAGCAGGAGCTACAGAGAGATCTGCAGATTCCCCTTCATTGTTTGGAGTTTGGAGGTGCCCAGATGAGGCCCAGCTGTGAAGCAGTGCAAGCTGCTGTGGGGCCTTGGGCCTTCTCTTGGATGTTCTGGATCTCTCTGACCCAGCTGCAGTTTGTTAGGTAATTTTAGATTGCCAAGGGCCAGGCCATTCATATGTAAAAGTCTCTGTGCACAGCTTGGGTGGGGCGGGGGTCTCCGGGAATCAACAGGGCGGAGCAAACAGCTATGGCTGATCCTCAGTCCTGCCCTAAGAGGCCCCGCATCTCAGTGTCCCACTAATCGCTGCAAGCACCTCTGAGAGAAAGCTGCCCTCGAGTTCTGCCCAATGCCAGACAATCCAGTTTCTCCCCGTATGAGTCTGGGTCCCCAGAGACTCACCCGGAGCTGGAGTTCAGAGCCATCGGGAGCTTGAGACTCCCTCCTGATTGAAAAAGACAACCTTGTCCTTCGTTGCCAGCCCTCTCTGCATGCGCCTCCGTACCTCTGGACTTTACTTCTGCACCTCCTCTGAGTCTCAGTGTGCTTTTCTCTTTCCTTCTAGTTGTAGAATTTCCTCTCAGCCAGCCTTCCCGTGGTTCTGGATGATGTCTGTTTTGTCTTTTAGTTGTATTTTTGAAGTGGTTGTGCGAGGCAGCAATTTCTGGTGTTTACCTATGCCGCCATCTTCTGTCAAGTGTTTAGAATAGTGCCTGGCACATAGGAAATCCCATATAAGTGTTAGCTGTTGTTATTATGAGAACTAGGAGAATTCTTTTCCTGGAGTGTCAGCAGCTTAAGGACCATGAACATAGTGCCAAGGTCTTCAAAAATGTACTTGCTGTTGGGAATTTTCCCTTAATTTGTAGGCATTCTCCCAAAGAGAAACTGACTTTGATTCTCAAAGGGGAACATTATTTCTGATTTTTTTTTTCTTTCTGAAATGGGGCATTTCTTCCGCAAGAGGAGGGAGGGAAGCCAAGGGGAGCTCTGGTCTCTCTCCTGTGTGTGTGGCTGGGGTGACGGGGTCAGCGGGGCCTTCCAGAGCAGGGAAGAGGCAGCTGGGAGAGTGGCCATGGTGTGACCCTGAGCACCCTCCCTACAGGCCCCAGGGAACAGGACATCCTGTTTGTCTGAGGCCTGATTCCTTCCCCAGGTACCTCATGGCAGGGCCAGACTCCAGCAGCGAGGACGAGGGTGGCCCTCACGGCGGCAGCAGCGGGGATGAAGCCCCACAGCTTCCCCAAAAGGTCCGCTGTCCCCTGACCAGCAGTGGGAGGGTGTACTGGGAGGAGGATATGGGTCTGTTGTAGCCCCCAAAGTCTACTCCTGCCTCCTGTGGCTCACCTCCCCACATTCTCCCACCCACCCTGCCCCTTGCATGCTCACTCACCCACTCCCCCTCCTCAGACCAAAACCAAGGCCCCTCAGGCAGCGGGATCCAGCTCACCCCAGACAGCCTCCACTCCAGAAGAGACCAAACCAGCCTCACCCGGGTCCCAGGAAGATACCCACACTGAGGGGGAGTGGTCAGGTCAGCCTTAGGGAGGAGGGGACTGGGGGCCTAGAATTCTGAGGGAGGAGGGTTCTGGGGGCCTGGACTCCTGGGTCTGAGGGAGGAGGAGGAGGCTGAGGGCCCCTGATAACTGGATCTGGAGGGCTATTGAGGTTGGGGGTTAGGATGCCTGTGTGAGACTGCAGAGGGTTACCGGTCTTCCCAGAAGACGAGGTCACCTTGCACTGACTAAGCTTCTGCTCGCAGAAGGACAGGACAATGGAGCGGAAGATTCTGAGGACACTGAGGATGAGCTGAGAAGGTAGTATCGGGGCCGGGGGTCAGGGTGGGCCGGGCCTTGGGTAGAGGGGATTGGTGTGCATACTCTTCCCCACCCCCTCCTGGCTCCCCCAGGGTGGCTGAGCAGAAAGAACGAAGGCAGCCCCCTGGCCAGGGGGAGAATGGCGAGGACCCATATGCGGGATCCACAGATGAGAACACCGACAATGAGAGTCCCCCAGAGTCTCCTGACCTGCCAATTCCTGAACTCCCAGGTAGGAAATCCCCCTCCCTTGCTCCTGAAGTGGAATCTGTCCCTCTCAGTTCTCATCTGTGACTGGCTCCAGCTAGCCTAGGATTGCTGCTACCCACCCTGGGACTTGTCTCCTGGTCTCCTCCCGCCACTGCCTGCCTTTGCCACTCTTCATTCCCTTAGGCCTGTTCCCTTCCCTCCCCTTCCCTTTCTGTCCCCCATCACAGCCCAGCACCAGGCAGGCATGACCACCCCCTTTGGCTCCCCTCCAGGTGTGAACAGCGCCTCCCTCACATCAGAGCTTAACCCCCCTAGGCTTCAGGATTACCTGGAAGGCTTTTAAAATCTGCAGATGCCCAGCCTCCCACCCCCACCCCTCAGTTTAGTTTTTGTGTGGGTGGGGCAGTCGAAAAGGAATGAGACCAACCAGATGAAAAAGTGGCCGGTTCGTTAGTGTCTGACGCGGCCACGCTTATTAAGTGGCAACAGCCCACTTGTGACTTGAGAGAATGAGGGGCTCTCTATGAGGCTCTGGTAGGGAAGGAACTGTTTGTCCCTTCTCCCTGGCCCCTCAGCCCTTTGATGGCGATGGCAGGTGCCAGGGAATTGGGAATCATGTAAGGAGCACGTTACAATCATTGGAATCGTGTCTTTTACCATTAAAGAAAACAATGGAAAACCAGGCTCTGCTGTGCTGGCTGAACTGCTTGTCCTCATTGCCCCGTCCGTTCCCTGCCCCTGTTTGGCCTCTGTGGCCCCTGGCTGGTGCCTTGGCACTTGAGGGCCTCACCTTGGCTCTTCTACCATCTCCCCAGACTTCTTCCAGGGCAAACACTTCTTCCTGTACGGGGAGTTCCCTGGGGACGAGCGGAGGAAGCTCAGCCGCTATGTCACAGCCTTCAATGGGTCAGTCGCTGGGGGTGGGACTGGGGTGAGGGGGGTGCTGAGTTTTGAGGAGGGATGTGGTAGGTTGTGGGAAGGAGGGCAGTTGGGAGGTGGGGAAGGGGCAAACCCTGCAGGATGGGCACAGGCCACAGAATTCATTGGCAGCCCTGCTTCGTAGCTCCCCCCTGGCTTCCTTCTCTAAAGGGAGGCTCCCGGCCACCCTTCTGAAAGGATTAGTGACAGTGGGAGCTGTCAGTATGGTGGCTGTGGTGAGACTGGCACGTGGGACAATGGAGGACCACAAGCAGCCTCTAGGGGACATAGGTGGGGATAGGAGAGCATGGTTGGGGAGTGGGGTGTCAGCAGAGGGGACACCAATTCTCAGCCTCTTTTCTTCTCCCGCTAGGGAGCTCGAGGACTATATGAGCGACCGGGTCCAGTTTGTAATCACAGCACAGGAGTGGGACCCCAGCTTTGAGGAGGTGAGTTCAGAGGGGCAGGGAAAGGGAGACCCAAACTGCCCTTGAATCTCCTCTATCCCCTCCTCTCTCACGTGTCCCCTCCCCCCCTGCAGGCCCTGATGGACAATCCCTCCCTGGTGTTCGTCCGCCCGAGATGGATCTACAGTTGTAACGAGAAGCAGAAGTTACTTCCTCACCAACTCTATGGGGTGGTGCCCCAGGCCTGAAGTATGTGCTTGTGCACACACACGCGCGCGCACACACACACAAGTCTAATAAAGCTGACTTGGTTTGGAGCCACTGCCTCTCACTCAGGAGTTTCCCAGAAATTCTAAGAGGCTCCCAGCTGTCTTCTGTTTGGTTGGTGCTTCCCCTCTGAGAGGCAGGTCTCTGAGCTGCCTGAGACTCCTGACCCGGGTCCTGGAGAGAATGAGGGCTCTGTGAGGCTCTGGTAGGGAAGGAGCTGTTTGTCATGTCTCGCTGGCCCCTCAGCCCTGTGGCAGCAGGTGCCAGGGAATTGGGAATGACACTGTAACTGTCACATGGTTTCCCATCACCTCATTTGGGAGGTAGAAGCGGGGAAGGGCATTTTACTCAATCCACCCAAATCCTGAATCCCCCTTCAAGGCTCCACTACACTTAAGGTCGGAGCTGAGCTGGGTGTTTAGAGAATCGGGACAGAAGATGGGGTGTCGTTCTAGGCAGGGGCCATGGCATGGACAAAGGCCCGGAAGTGGGAGCTGCTAGCCTGGTGTCTGGGTAGAGTTGAAAGAGCATTGCTACCCTTGGTGAAGAGGCTGTAGGGGCAGATCTGGCTAGAAAGGTGGGTACAGTCCTTGCAGCTGCAGTGTCCAGTGTGGTAGCCAATGGACACAGGTGGCTATTTAAATTACAATGAAATGAGCCCAGGCCTGTTTGCTCAGTGGTTAGGTCATTGACCCTTGGACAGAAGTGTCTCGGGTTCAATTCCCTGTCAAGGGCATGTACCTCGATTGCAGATTCATCCCAGCACCAGTCCAGGCGTGAGAAGGAGGCAACCAATCAATGTGTCTCTCACATTGATGTTTCTCTGTCTCCCCTTCCTACTCTCTCTAAAAGTCAATGGAAAAAAAGATCCTTGGATGAGGATTAAAAAAAATTACAGAGAAATGAAAGGGAAAATTCACTTCCTCCTCACACTGGCCCCATTTCAGTGCTCTGGCCACGGCACTGACAGCACAGACATTTCCATCCCCGTGGGAAGCACAAGCAGGCTGACGGCACCGGGCATAGAGTCTTGGACTTTTCCTGGGGGAATGGGGTCGGGAAGGGGTTTGAGCAGCACAAAGGGCTGGGTCATCTGGGTTTGAGATCTGCCCTTTGGGTAAACTTTTCTTGGACGTTCCAAGCCCATTCCCAGCTTTGGCCCCATCAACTAACCAAGAGCCACCAATCTTAATCCTTTGTCTTTGTTCACCTTTGCTTTTTCACTTCTGAGGTGAAGGTGGTATTAGATTCTGCATCCACTCGTTCACTTTTCATTCATTCATACATGTACTGACCGCTCACTATGTTACTTCCTATTGTTGCTATAACAAATTACTACAAACTTAGTGTCTTAAAACAACAAAAATTTCTATTCTTCTAGGTCTGAAGTCTGAACTGGGTCTCACTGGGCTAAGAAGTCACGGTGTAGGCTGGCCCGCATTCCTCCTGGGGCTCCAGGGGAGACTGCTTTCTGCGCTTTTCCAGCTTGTAGCAGCTGCTCACATTCCATCCCCTTCCGTAGGCAAAGGCAGCAGAGGCCAGGCAGTCTTTCCCATGCACATCGTCTCTGACACCAGATCTTTTGTCGTATTCTCCCACGTTTAGACTCCGATGACTGTGGAGCCCACATGGACAATCTGGGATAATCTCCTTTTTAAGGTCAGCCATTTGGCAACCGGAATTCCTTCTGCTGTCTTAAGTCTCCTTTGCCACATTCCATATCCATAGGTTCCAGGGATTAGGATGTGGACATCTTTGGGAGGCCCTTGTTCTGCCTACCATACCGACTGTGAGTGAGACACGGGCTGCAGTGTGAAAAGACAGACACACGTCCTCACTCCCGGGCTGACATTCTGCTGGGGGAGAGACAGTGAGTGTGTGTTGCAGTGTTGGGCAGGGGTAAATGCTGTGAGAGCAGAGAGAGCAGGGCAGTGCTCACTCTGACAGTGACAGGGCCAGGTGGAAGTATTTAAATAGAATCATAGGAGAAGGCATCTCAGGGGATGTCCCCTTCTGCAGGGACTTGGGAAAAGGGTCCTGGGGAAACTGGTCCAGGCAGAGGAAAAGCAAGTGCAGAGACCCTCCGGCAGGACATGTGCAAGGAGCAGCAAGGCATCAGGGTGTCAGGAGACCTGGGATCCACTCTAAATCAGCACTGCCCCCCGCCCTATTGTTTGGTTGCAGACCAGTCATCTTGTAAGATTGGACCAGACGAAATGAGTTTGTGCCCTTGAACCTTTGAGGTGGTGTGGTTGCTACAGAAGAACTCTTCCCAGACAGGAACTCTCTATGGATACAAGTCATGCTGTCAAGTTTGGAGGAGGGACTGGAATCCTTACCTATGCCCAGTTCCCCCCCGTCCCCCCAGCCCCCCAGATCTTGCTGAGTAGTCTACAGCTCATTTCCATTTACCTGCTTGATTCTACCCCTTATGCTGGAGACTCCACAAACCATCTTTCAGTCCATCCTTCACACCTTTCAGGTTTCAACTCAAAACATTATCTGCTCAAGAAAGCCTTTCCTGCCCTAGCTGGTTTGGCTCAGTGGATGGAATGTTGGCCTGGGGACTGAAGGGTCCTGGGTTTGATTCCAGTCAAGGGCATATGCCCGGGTTGCAGGCTCGATCCCCAGTAGGGGGCGTGCAGGAGGCAGCCGATCAATGATTTGCTCTCATCATTGATGTTTCTATCTCTCCCTCTCCCTTCCTCTCTGAAATCAATAAAAAAGTATTTAAAAAAGAGAAAAGAAGGCCTTTCCTAACCTCTAGAATAGTATATGTTAGATATACACTTTTATCATGCTGCATCTTATTTCTAACTTGATTTGTTTATGGTCAAACGTACCAGTCTCTTCCTCTATAATTTGCTCTTTTTGTGTCTTAAAAATACTTTCTCTACTTCTGAGGTTACTAAGATATTCTCCTGTATTTCCATTTAAATTAGTGTTGTGCTTCAAATTTAGATCTTAACTTCCTAGAAACTAGCTTTTGTGTATGGTGTGAGGTAGGGATCTGTATTAGTTTTCTATTGTTGCTGCAACAAATTACCACAAGCTTAATGACTTTAAACAATACACATTTATTTTCTTACAGTTCTATAGGTCAATAGTCCAAACTCAGTCTCTAGGCCAAAATCATGGTGGCAGCAGGCCAGGGTTCCTTCTAGAGGCTCTAAGGGAGAATAATTTTCTTGACTTTTCTAGCCTCTAGAACAGCCGTGGGCAAACTACGGCCCGGGGGCCCGGATCCGGCCCGTTTGAAATGAATAAAACTAAAAAAAAAACAAAAAACGACCGTACCCTTTTATGTAATGATGTTTACTTTGAATTTATATTAGTTCACACAAACACTCCATCCATGCTTTTGTTCCGGCCCTCCGGTCCAGCTTAAGAACCCATTGTGGCCCTCGAGTCAAAAAGTTTGCCCACCCCTGCTCTAGAAGCTGCCAAGTTCCTTGACTCGTGGCCCTGCATCACTCAATCTCTGCTTCCATTGTCGCATCTGCTCTGACTTCTATTTCCCTCTTCCCCATATAAGGACCCTTGTGACTACATTGGGCTCACAAATAATCAGGATATTCCCATCTCAAAATCCTTACATCTGCAAAGTCCATTCTGCCATGTGTAAGCTAACATATAAGTACTAGGGGTTAGGATGGGGACAACTTTGGGGGACCATTATTCTGCCCATCACAGGGTTCCTCCCATTTCATTTTTCCCCACCTCAGCTAACTCACAGATTAGCTTGTCCTTTCCCCACTCATCTACAGCAGGGGTCGGCAAATTGCCGTCCATAGGCAAAATCCAGCCCACTTGCTGTTTTTGAAATAAAGTTTTATTGGAACCCAGCCACAAATTCATTACAGTGTCATGAGTGTGGCTGCTTTTACAACAGCAGAGTTGAGTAGTCATGGCAAACGCCGTATGGCCTGCAAAACCTAAAAATATATACCATCTGGCCCTTTACAGGAAGTTTGCCAACCCCTGATCTCCAGGTGGGGGTTGTCACATGTCAGAACCAAGGCTCCCCTACTTGTTCTTCAAAATGGACTTAAGCTTACTTTTATTTTTTTATTTTTTTGCCACTACTTGACTAGTGACCCCTCTCCTCACTAAACCAGGTCTGTCTTATTTCCTGCTGTATTCCTAATACCCTATTCAGGTCCTAGCACACAGTAGGTGCTTAATGTGTAGGATGAAGAGCAGTCCAATGTTAGCTCACTCATCTGATTTTATAGTGAGAGAAACTGGCTCTAAGAAGGGAACTGACTTGCCCAAGATGATGATGCTTGCACCCTTACAAGGGCCTTATAACACTCCCATTTTATAGATAAGGTATCTGAGTCCAGAGAAGTGCCAAAGGTTGTCCAAGGCCCCTCGGCTCATACGCAGTGGGTCAGGGATGGCTCCAAAGCTAGGACTTTACCTACTATCAGCAGTATGCCCCTTGTTCTGGCTTCTATCATTTATATCTTGGGAATCTTTCCACATCGGTACACAATGAGCTGGTTTCTCCCCCCTACAGCTACATCTTGCATTCTATGGCTGTATTGTAATTAATTAGCTGGTCTCGATTGATGAACACGGGTTGTTTTCCATCTTTGGGCACAACCATAATGCTGCAGCGAACATCCTTGTCCTTATGCCTTGTTCACATGCTGGAGTTTATAGGATACATTCTTAGAAGCGGAATAGCTGACACGAGCAGGTGTGCATTTAAGTATTTCATAGGTACAGCCAAATGGCCAAAATGGAAGCACCAATGTAACTTACAACAACAGGAGAGAGCCTGTTTTCCCACACTCCCCACCACCCCACAGTGCTAGCAGACTTCGTACCTTTGCCAAATGAATAGTCAGGAAAAACCAGAGCCAGTTCTTTCCCACCACAGCTCCAGGTCCGTGGTTTGGGGCCGGTTAACTCTCTGTGGTTGATACATTCCCTCCCCTTCCCCAAAGTGGGTGAGCAAAGAGTTCTTCCACCTTTTAAGTTAGAACCCAGTATGTACATACTGTATGTAGGAGGGGCCAACCTCCCTGCCAGCTAGAAGAGGCAAGCCTGGTGTAGAAATGCCACCTCTGTGTTTACTGGAGCTGGCGGCAGAGGGGGCCGGTGAGCCAAGGGGAGGGCTCACTCCCGCTCCCCCTGACTCTCAGCCTGGTGGTGGCTGCGTTGGTGAAGGAGCAGGAGGCGCCTCTGGCCAAAGGCCTGGCCGCAGCTGGAGCAGCGATGTCGTCGCGCGGTGGCCTGGCTGCTCGGCGCCGTGGGGGGTTCATGACATAGGCGGTGGGCAGCCAGTTTGGAGGGGAATGAAAAAGCCTTGGGGCAGTGCGGACAAGGATAGGGGCGGGCATCCGTGGCATGGTGCGTGTGTCGGTGGGCAGCCAGTTTGGAGGGGTAGCAGAAGGACTTGGAGCAGTCAGGGCACGGGTAGGGGCGGGCGGGCGCGTGGGTCCAGAGGTGGGCTGCCAGCTTGGAGCGGTGGCCAAAGGCCTTTGGGCAGTGCGGGCACGAGTGCGGGCGGGCGCCGCTGTGCGTGAGGCGGTGGGCTGCCAACTTGGAAGGGTAGGAGAAGGCCTTGGGGCAGTCGGGGCACGGGTGGGGGCGAGCGCCACCGTGTGCCAACCGGTGCGTGGCCAGCTTGGACGGGTACGAGAAGGCCTTGTCACAGTCGGGGCATCGGTGCGGGCGTTGGGGCGGGGGTCGTCGGCGGGGTCGAGATGGCGTCTCTGTGGAGGCAGCAGGCCCTGGAGCCGACTGGTGGGGCTTCTTGGACGAACCCTGGTGGGGAGCTAGGGTACAGGAGGGCTGGTGGGCTCCTGGCTGCAGCCAACTCCCTAAATCTAGTCCAGGCTCCCCGACTCCCACCCCACTTTGATATCTGAATGTACCTGGGCACCTCCAGCCGCTGCCATCCATCGTCCTAAACGGCTCCAAAGCATCACCTACCTGCCTCCCCAAAGCGAAGGCTTTCCCAAAACCGCTTCTAGGATTTTCCCAGGGGATCACCCTGAATTTTTGCATGTCACCCTCCCTGCCCCTCCTGTAATTTCCTGAGTCCTAGAAATGATCTCGAAGGGTCCCCCAAAGCCAACCCAGGATTCCCCAGAACATCACATTTTGGGGATCCAAAACTGTCATCACCCTGAGATACTCTTCCTGGAGAGTGCCCCCGCCCACAGGGCCGCTCTCACCTCCGCCTGTGGTCACTGGCTCCTTGCCTGCAGGACTAGGATCTGTGGCCTCAGCCGCCGGCTCTGCATCTCGCTCCAGCATCTTGCTGGCCCAGAAACCTAGAGGAGGGCGTAGGGAGGTGGAGGGGCGTCGCTGGTGGTTATTAGGCGAATGGAGATAGGGCTGGAGGTTCCTAAAATCAGGGGTCAGTCTGTTCAAGGAGCCTGATCTCATTTAAATCTGGGATCCTAAGCAAGGATGGGAGTTGCTGGAAGGCGGAGCCTAAAAGCACGAGGGGCGGGGCTATGCAAATCGGACGCAGAGGCATTCCCTTTGCCATAGAACCAGGGTTGGAGCCCTCCAGCGGAGTAGCGGGGCCTCTGAGCAACTCGAACTCAGCGTTCCTGGTGCAGGGCGGCGGAGCCTTTGTCCAAAATGGACGGAGCTATACAAATGGGACCCCAAGTCCGCGCTCTGCAGCTCAGACCCAGGGGAGGAGCCTAAGAATTCAGTGGGCGTGTCTTTCGCAACTTTCCCAGGAGAGGGCCCTAAGAGCTCCGGCGGAATTTCACGTCCAAGAGGTATCTTTACCTTTTGGCTTAGTCTCAGTCCATGGACGTCACGAGGGCCGCTAAATTTCTTCCTCGTTGCTAAATTTCATCCCCGGTGTGGAGTTGAAGCCGTAGAGGGCAGAGAGGAGACCTGGAGGGAGACAGAGAAAGAATGTGGCGTGTGTCGGGGATCTCAAGCGTCCGGGCCTCGGGATCGTGGCATTCGGACACCAGTGCACCCTCCCAAGGCTCAGGCACCGATGCAGCCCCACCGGAACCTATGCATCAGCATTTTGGGACCCCACCCGGGAGATTCTAGAGCCCCGCCCCTAACCCATTTCCCCAAGACCCAAGCGTCCCGGCCCGGACCCCAGCACTCTCACCTGCGCACTGCACCTCCCCGGGGGCGGGGCTGCGGGCCCCTCCCGCGGAGGCCGAGGTCGCAGCCCCGCTGCCCTCGGATGGGAAGGAGTTGCACCGCACGCCGTGCACCCAGCGACCGTAGGGCAGGGCAGGGTGCGCTCGAAAGCGGCAGGGTCCAGCCTCATTTCCATCCCCTCCTCCCATGCGGTGCCGGTGGGGGCGTCAGTACGCAAGCGCAGTCACGGCTGGCGGAGGCTGCGGCGTGGGAGACAGAATCGAAGGAGGGGTGGGTGCGCGAGGCAGCCTTGCTGGTGAGCAAGCGCAGAGCTACGGGCCGAAGGACAGTGGGAAAGGGTACAGAGGTTTGCTGGGCCTACGGTGGCTGATTGGAGTCAAGAACGTGCTAACGGGGAGACGCTGCGCTTAGGCCTTCCTGAGACAGCGCCCAGCAGGGGCACCTGCGCTTTTCTGCTTCTTTTTTTTTTTTTTTTAAATATATTTTATTGATTTTTTACAGAGAGGAAG